TTTTCTCATCTCTGAGCTGCAATGGTCATTGGGGGGGTTCATGTGTCCGGTGGTTGTGATTCTCCCCTTTCCTTCCCACCGACTCCCATTTTTCTGTTCCCTGGTTGTGATTCTCCCCTTTCCTTCCCACCGACTCCCATTTTTCTGTTCCCTCAGAGTTTCAAGGGGGTTCTGCATATGTAATTTTACCCTCAATGGTCGTCGGGGGGGTCCACGTGTCCAGCGGTCAGGACTCTGGGAAGACACTACGACGCTGGTTGGCTGGAGGAAAACGTACGGTAATACTTTGCAACAATTTGTGTGGCCTGGAATGAAAAAAGATGTAATCATATATGCGAGAACATGTCTTGTCTGTCCAGAAAACCAAACCATCCCACTAGAACCCTCTGGGATTTGCTTCAACCACACGTACATTTAAGCCTCTTTTTTGCAAACCAAAATGATTCATTCTGAAACATTAGGGGACTCGCCCCAGGCCGGGCTGAATTCTCTTTGTCCCAAGCGGCACCAGTTCCAACCCTGACGCGTGGGACAAATTCTTTCACCGCCCAGGCCCAGGCCCGCCGTGGGGCGAGCCGCCCTAACTTTTAGGAATGACTCAGGCCATAGTCAGACGAGCACCTAAAGTTTCAATTTGGGACTTTGGGCACCCATGTGGTCACAGGGGCGGACTCCATCCAGAAAGGACACCGTCGCAGCCCACCCAGTTAGGACCTGTGCAAAGTGCACCTAATTACACAGCTCCCCACCCAAAAAAGTGCTTTTTCTGTTTTGTTTTTCAGCGCTAAAATGACAAGCAGGCCTTCACGACTGAATGTGAATAGCGGGCTCGCCACACGGTCGAGGTGACACTTCCAAGGGAAGTGAAAATCCTGCCACTTGTGCTGCAGCAATTGTGGAAACTTGTTTTCGTGGCCCAGCTACGACGGCCCCAGGGAGAGAACCTCATTTTGGTGTTGAGAGCCTCAGGGAGACCGCAGCCTTGATGAACAATGCAAGTCAGAATTGGCATCAAATGAGATTTACTTGAAACAGCGAGCCAAGTGTGATGGATATGAGGTATTCGGCGAGTAAGGCATGGGCATGACAATGGCATGGGAAAGACCGCACATCCACTTCGGGACATGCTCATGCATGTAACGCTATTTCCCCCCCAAAAAAAAAAATTCCCTTTCTTCCAATGAGTGTGTTATCGACGTCAAAATTTTGACTGCCACATCCCTGCCAATGGCACCACCTCAGCACATGCACACGACGCCTGCAGAGGCCGTGGACGGCAATAGCAGCTGTGGTGGGGAGCACGGACAGCCATGACAGCTATGGCGCAGAGGGGGGGGGGAAATATCGACATGCATTGTCATGCAAACCAAGCATCCCACCCATAGTCTACCTGTATCTGAAACTCTAGGTGCACTCGACATGTTGCGTCACCCCATTCTATCAGCGCCGGGGAGCAGTGCAAAAGTATCTGTATCTTGAGCGTGTTGCAGTCCAGATGCAATACCAACTTGGAATCAACCCGTCTGTATTGGCCCCGTGGAACAAGGCAGCTCCGTCTCAAGAAATCCAGCTTCTGGAAGGTTTTGCAGTGTGGGTGTGTTCGTAACATGGGATCGCCCCGTTTGTACGAGCCTGGGTTAACAATGCAGATACATTCGAATAGCTGGCTAGCGTGAAGAGGACGATGGTAGTGAAACCATGTGAGACCGCGCGCAGAGGGGTGGGGGAACCACTTGGAGGCACGGAGAAGTATAGGCGGAGATGTGCAGAAGGGAGTCCAGATAGGGGGCCAGAGACAGGCGGAGGTGCGGGGAGATGGGCAGAGGTGGGTGCAACCTTCCCAAGACGGGCGCACCCTCTGCCAGATAGGACAAGATCAAACTGGCGGAGGCTGTGCTGCACCTCTCTTGCACGAGAGGACAAACTGCTGTGGCTTTAGTGGCCAGAGCGTGCAAGTCTTCATGTGCTTCCTGTGACTAGCTCCAAAGTGACCACTTGCCCCAAATCCCGCCCGTACAGTTGTTTGGTGGGCTGTTATCTTCGTGTACAAACTTTAGCAATTACCTTTGGGAAAATGAAAAAATCGAAAAGAGACGATGGGACCACATTGGGATGTGGCTTCAGTAGAGTTCTCCCGCCTGGCAGGCCGCTGACATTTGGGACACTATAAAGTACACAAGACCACTTCCTATTACAGAAAGCCCTGGGGAGTCGTCACCAAAAGTGGTAATGGAGACGGTGAAGCCTCTGAGAACACTATTTCATTCGGGACACTATAAAGTACACAAGGATCACAGGAGGACCCAATATAACCCGAAAGGTGCCCCAAATTTTGTTGACTTCAGGTCGTCCGGTCCCCGTTTGGGTGTGCCCTCGGTTTTAACTCCGAAGTTTGCCTCGGCGGTGTAATTGCGGTTTAAACCACCAGTTTACGCAAGCCGAAGTTGTGGCCTTGCCCGCATACCCAGAATACGACTGTTCCGCTTCAGGCCTGGACCGGCAGCAAAAGCGGCAGGCCACTTTAAAAAGGCCCAGTTGCAGGCTCACTAGGCTTGGAAGGTAGCTTCATCAACTTAGGCTTGTGAGAGCTGGTGGTTCAAGAGTCAAGAGTCAAGACCACTTCCTATTACGGAAAGCCCTGGGGAGTCGTCACCAAAAGCGGTAATGGAGACTGTGAAGCCATGGGTGTCAACTTCTAGTACATTGATTCTCTAATATGTGTGCAATGCTAACAAATATGGTTAACCCGATTAACATAACAAAAGCATAATGGTTTCCACTACCTGCTGAAGCACAAATCCAATCTAGTCATTCAGAATTTTCAGATGGATTGAGACTGTCTGAGAACACTATTTCAGATGGATTGACTGTCTGAGTACACTATTTCAGATGGATTGACTGTCCGATATATAGACGTGTCTGATTCACAGGACAAATTTGGCGGAAACTGATGGAAGTCTCTACGGGACTCCACTTCCCTATAATGGCACGACATCCTGAAACCAATGGCCAAACTCAGCATACAATTGTGTGTTAAAAAAAAAAAAAAAAAAAGTGTGTAACACATGATCAGATAGATTGGGATGAGAACCTACCTAACGATAGCAGCTGCCTACAATACGTAAATGATAAATCTGTTTTTCTAGATAACTCAGTCCAAACTATGACAGGGTGGACGCCTACTGCACTGCACGAGAGATGGCCGCTTAAGAGAACTATAGAATCCTTGACTATATGCGAATGGCCACCACGATGGCGCCCCTTCCAGCTCCCCCCGAGGTGTCGCGAGGGCGGCTGGGGTATGGAATGGGCTGTCCCCCTCTTTCTTCCCCTCGTTTACCGGTGCTGAGCAACCGGACTGATGCCACCCAGAATAGAAGGGGCCTATGTTTTGTGAGAATAAAATAAAATAAAATAATAAAATAAAATAAAATAAAATAACATAACATAACATAAAATAAAAGAAATCCTTGGCTAGGGTTCCACTTCAAAAAATACTTCCTTGGCAGGAACCATAGAATTTGCACTTTTGTGCGAAGAAGATGATCATATCCAAAAGGCGTCCTTCGGGACATCCATTAAAATTGGAACGATACAGAGAAAAGATTGGAATGGCCCCTGCGCAAGGATGACACGCAAAAATCGACCACCGGTCAAAAAAAAAAAGGTAGCCGAAAGGCTAAAGAGACTCTAAAACAGGCTCACATACAGATGACTGCGCAAGCCAACAAGCATAGGCTACCTTCTCAGTTTCAAGCTGTGTTATAAACCGGGTCGCCCAGATCACCTTGTTTGACCGTGCCGCCCGGCTGGGCAAGGACCAGGGGAAGTCCCTGTCAAGAAAAAAAAAAAAAAAAAAGAAAAGGCGAAAACAAATTAAGTTGTGCAGAAAAATTAACTGGACAACTTTTGCGTCAGAGGGTCGGACCGAAATTCTTTGTGAAACAAAAAAGAAAAAATAAAAGTAAACAAATATTTTTTATTTTTATTTTTAATTCATTTTTGGCTGGCCGGGCAAGTAGGTCCCGGGCCACTCTGGTAACATAAGTTTCGAGTAGACCCCTTGCTGATGATGTTCGATTGATATCATGGAGTTTGAAATTGGGACAGCAAGATTGAATCCCAGCTCAAAATCTGCACACACACGGTCTGGGGTTGAAGCTTTCGGTCCACGTCAAAGATTCGGGTGTCAAATCTCCAGCTCTAGAAAGGCCGCAGAAGAGTCGACAGCTACCGGGTCAAGGGTCCAAAGAGGCCTGAAGTGCCCCCAAGGAGAGGTGGCTGACTTTAGGCATATCAGGCGTCAGTGCCAACTTTGGAAAAGCAGAAAAAGAGTCAGAGATTTCTCAGGAGTCAAGACCACGGACACATATCCAATACATATCAAAGGCTGGAGGTGATTGAATGGGGATGAGTGAGAGTAAAAGGGATGGTTCACACAAACTTCACAGCAAGGTTATTAAAGCGAGATCACTCCAGGGTGTTGCCAGGCCCATGTGCACGAACGTAGTGTATGCAGGGCAAAGATACTTTACGCCGCGAAGAGCCATGCAATGTCATGCATCGTTCCACGAGAGCCATGCAGCACCAATCCATGGTGTTGCCAAGCCAATGTGCACAAACGTAGTAGATGCAGGGCAAATATACTTCACGGCGCGAATACCAAGATTATAATAAGGAACAACAGGAGCAAAGCAAGAGCAGCACACTCCGGATCGCATACACCAAGATGCATAAACATGACCCTCTACCTTCCCCAGTAAAGAAGTGCGGTGCTGCCCCCACCGCCACCGGCCTAATGAATTGGGAATGAGAATAGAGCCCGGGCTAGATGCGTGCGACCTTGGGAATTGTATGCGAGCACTGCATGGAAGGGCTCTTGACAGAGATCCCGGAGAATACTGGGTTGCAGAATACTGGGAATTGCTACCTTCTTTGCCCGAATAAAATTACAGCCATTATAGCGGAATTTGAGCCAGATTTCAGTCCACATGCCACTACAATGACCATACGTTTTATTCAGGTGACGAAGGTAGGCTCCTCACAAGAAATGCACAACCGCAGAGTCAAGAGGGAGGTCGCAAGCCTGCTGGTGGATTGGATACCCTGTAGCCGTCTTAATTAGGACTCTTCAGGAGGTATGTACTATGCATATGTAGCATGTATATGGGAGTATACATTGTATATGTGATTCTGTCTGCATGAGTGCGACATCATGCTCGATAAACACAACTCCATAAAAAGAAATCACGATGACTGAAAGAGAGTTTCGCCACTTTCGTCGATTCATCGGGAGGCTGAACCTCGACAGTCCGTACAGAATTGCATTTTTTTTATAATGCCTTCTGGCAAACCGCCCCGGCCAAATTCCGTAATATCATGCAAAATCCGAGAAGATTGTTCGTTCCTACCCCTGATGAGAACAGCAGTGCGCCCCTGATAAATAGAAAAGCACACCCACTCCTCCCCGCATGCATCATAGTGTGTCCATCTCTGACATAAACGGGTCACTGTGAGACGTTCACATACAGCTCAAATATTGTGCAGATTCTCTGCTGCTGGGACGGTAAGCAAAGGATTACAGTCAACACCATTGCGATCCACCCTTTCCATGAGTCGGCATAAGGCTAGTGAAACAGTCTTCCACACCAGCTGACTTCAAGTGCTTAGGCCAACCACGAGTGGACAGTTCACCGCATGGAGGACTTTGCCAGTCCTCTTTCCCCATAGATACTGCCCGTTCAACTCTCAAACCCCATTCTTTTGTAATGCCAGGCATGGGCATCATGACTGTCATTCAAAGGCTCTGCGAGCTATACACTCGTACGCGGAATTGTGGCTCGCACTGGGCAGAGCCGTCAGGGCGGTCATCCGAATGCTCCCGGGAGCTCATGAACCATTTGCATAGTGCCGCAGAAACACACTTGCCGATTGCACATGTGTGCACAGACACAGAGCATGCTACAACAAATGAACACAGACTCGGAAAAAGGAGTAGAATAGCGAAGTCTGCTGTAAAACATGACAATAGAGGATACAAATTGAAACAAAGGCTGTGAGCCTTATTGTTCGTGAATTGCAAGGGGAAAAAGAAAACAAACTATGGTAGGAAAAGGTCACCTCCCTCCCTCCCTCCCTCCCTCCCTCCCCCTCCCCCCAACTACATCAATCAATTGGCACCAGTACAAATAGACTACAAAAATCATTGCTTGCAAAAAACTTGCTCACATTTTCTAGCTTCTCACGAAAAGCAAGGATGACCCCACAACGGAAAATTTGCCATTCCATAGGCATCTGGTGCTCTCTCTCTCTCTCTCTCTCTCTCTCTCTCTCTCTCTCTCTCTCTCTCTCAGTGTGTGCGTAATGTGAATGAAGTACCATAAAACAAACCAGATGAAACAAGCAGAAGAGAATCAGCCAGTCACCTCAATCCTTGCGCTTATCGTAGCCTCCTCGTTGAACTATGCTCCCACCTCTCCCATAACAAGCTCCAGCTCCCACCTCTCACATAACAAGCTCCAGCTCCCACCTCTCCCATGACAAGCTCCAGCCTTCGGTGTCATTTGCACCTCTCTCTCTCTCTCTCTCTCTC